GTTAAAAACAGAAAACACCTGTGTAACATATATCATTAAACACAGTCAGTAACATGTAGGCCTATAGATAATGGGATGTACAAATAAAGATAACATTGAAATGTACAGTATTTTTACTAGGACTACAATTTTAAACTTCTATGTGTATTTAAATATGATCCTCTTGTTTTGGACAGTGTGCAGCATTAGAATTAGGAAGCCTCCACTCAGCAGGTTTTCCTCATTTAAATAGAGACACTGGAAGTCTGTTGCAAAACAACATGAGGACCATTATTCTTCTCCTGAGCCATAGTTCACATGAAAACAAAATCATAAAAATGATGTATTCTTAATTAGAATTAATGTTGCCCAAAAGAAAGGCTGTGCCGCTGCGTCTCACTGGGGTTAAGAAGTAAAGGAGGAGGTCTATTTGTCTGATTCTTGTCCGTGGCTGTCTAGTCACCCTGCCACATGCTCCATCATAGTTTAAATATTCATAGCCTGCCCTCTGAATATGCATGAGGCCCCTATTAATATTTATGAGCTTCACTTGTTGAGGTGTCACTCGATCTCTTGTACACACATGCACACAGACATTTACACACACTGATGATCAAAGGTGATAGCTATGTCTACCCGGGCACATTCATAAGCCACGGTGTGAGTTACTCTTGGGCTCTGAGGCAATGGTAAATACAAACTGTGGCTATAGAACAACATCAATAAAACGACTAACTGTTTAGTAAATAAGTAGTACGAGAATAGTTTGACATTTTGGGTAAATATGCCTATTTGCTTGTTTGCATATGAGGAACATGTTATAGCCTGGCTCGCATTTAAGCGTTTTTAAAGATTACTAATGAACATGTCATGTTATTTATTTGTTTAAAAAAAAAAATCAAGCATGTAAGCAGCAATTTAGCATATTACATGAGGTTATGTCCAGGCAATGGGGGGAAATTCAAGAAAGTGAACTGCTCCTGGCTAGGAAAAAGTCAAACACATCCTGTAAAATGGCACATGCTAGTGTTTACACTTCACTTACACATGGATTAAATAGATAAGTTTTAGCTTGTTAGTTAGTGAGCTGTATAGGTGCTCTGAGGAGCCTAGGCTAGGCTAGGCTAGGCTATACTAAAATATGCCTCATCTAGTGCGTTACAGGCCACATTTAAGCCATTGTCGTTGCTTAAAAAGTTACATAAATGTTTGGCTTCATTTTGAACCAGGGAATCTGCAGATTAAACTTCTATACTTTTCTAGTTTTTAAACTGTTTCCCTCGGTTACAGTTTCTCTGCTCCCTTTAAATAGCTTACTGCTTTTTATGGTATAAAATGAACTAACTATTAGCTAACACAGGCACGCGCTCATTCTGCAAAGCAATGTAACACTGACAGCATATTTGTCAGAGTAATGTGTTAATGGATAAATATTTGATAGTATATGGACTTACTTTCTGTGTCTACCAGAAGTGATGTTGAGTTTACTCTTCATTGCCTTCCTGAAAAGAGGGCCACTCTAATACCAGTTCCAGTAAGGTCTTTAAACAGACATTGCTGAACCTAGGTGAGGCTCTGGAACTGATGTAACAGTATGACACACACACACACACACACACACAAACACACACACATGCACACACACACGCATACAAACACACTGTCAGCTGTGGACTTTCTAATGAGGTGTGTTTATATAACAAGCCACAACAGTAGCGGTATTTCCGTGCACGAGCAACAGGAAACGAGCGCCACCGAGTCTCTGTCCTGTGTGCACACATGCCAGCCATAGTGCCAGAACCAGTAGACAACAGGTGTTTGTGTGTGTTCGTGTGTGTGTGTGTGTGTGTGTGTGTGTGTGTGTGTGTGTGTGTGTGTGTGTGTGTGTGTGTGTGTGTGTGTGTGTGTGTGTGTGTGTGTGTGTGTGTGTGTGTGTGTGTGTGTGTGTTGTGTCTGTGTTGTGTGTGTGATATACTTTACATTATATGTACATCCATTTTTCTGGATTACTTCAATTTGATTGTATTTGTGTTTCGCGCGCTCTGAATTCTCTTGTGAAGTGTCATTCAAACCTGTGTGTGTGTTTATGTTGAGAGAGAGAGAGCAGTGATACACACACATAGCAATGTCTGCTGGCTTTTTCGATGACGCACATCCTCAGGCCTGCACTCAGTCATCTCTCTAGTTTGTGGTTATAACATTGATCTTTTCAGTCCCCCTTAAGGGTAATATATGTACATTATGAATTGCCTGTTGTAAAGACATGCTGCATCAACACAAAAATAGAAAGATATTTCTTAAATTGAATAATATATATTTTTACTCTCAAAGTATCTCCTTTAACAACAGCCATATTCCTTTCGAGGTGTACAGTGTTATTTAATGAATACATTCAACCTTGGGAACTTCCCTTTTGTGCAGTACATAAGAGGAATATGTTTAGCAATGATGAGACAGAATCTGTTGATGTCTCTCTCAATGAAGTGATTCCCTGCACTATTAAAACAGTGGTTAGTTCAATATTGATATGAGCTGCTCCAGAAAGTTTTTGAGCAGTAGTTCTCTGTCTTGGGACAAGAAGTGAGACTATGAAGTCTGTATGCCTCCTACAGGCTACATTTATCACATATCAGAAAGATCTTGGATTATATCTAGTGTAATTTTGTCTTTGAATAATGGACTCTGTGAACGACTTTGAACTGAATGAGACGAGAATTAATGGAAGATGAATGAAGCTGCCTTGAACTTAATGCTCATATCTCATCATAGATCTGCATTTCCAGTTAATTCAACCCTTTTACCTCTGTAGTACTTTGCCTGCATTTGTTTTTCTTGTTAATATGTTTATTGTGTGCACCAAACAGCAAGGCAAATTCCGTTTAAGTGAATACCTATTATGCAATAAACCTTATTCTGATTCTGTGTGAAGAAGCAGAAATTGATTTGCATTAACCTGAAGACGTCATTTGAGGAAGTGTTTCTCTTGAAACCAAACTAAATTCATTGAATTGTGTCTCTACACTGTGAGAAATCATTGTATAAGTTGTTATACAACCAAAAACTGTAAAGGTTGACAGCCATTATTTGCCAAGGGACCCTGGGTTAATCCAGCCATGCCCCCAATTACTTTTATTTATAAAAGATGGGTGCGATCGGGACTCTAGCTATCACTGTACTTGGACATATGACCACAGTATTTTTTAAATCAACCTGGCTGCAGTACAGATATAAAGCTTGGTAGCATTCAACAGGATGCCATTGACGTAAAACGATCTCTTATTACTTGTGTCTGCTGTGGTGTAACCAAAGATAGAGGAGGCTTGATGATTCAGCTTTAGACGGGCTCTTTGGTGAGGGCAAACAGACATGTGGGTAAAGAATACCCTCGTCTGCACCTGCCCTGCCTCTAACACTGAGGACACTGAGGTAATCTGTAATACCGTTGGAAGAATACTATTATATTATAAAGTTGACGAGTCTATATTTTGCAATGGTTTTGCCTCTTTTAACTATAGAGTAATTACATTTTACAATGTCTTGATAGTAGCGCTCTTATTAAAGTAGGATCTGAGATGAAGTGACATTTACAATCTTTTGAAAAAAGAGAACAAATACTATAAAATGAAATCTAAATACAGTTCTCAATCTCAAAGATAAATGTTAGGTCTCCAGGGAACAGATGAGAGGCTGTCAACTCGTATCGAACTTTATGAGGCTGTGCTTTAATATGCCGTCAAAGGTTACCGTTTTTGTTGATTCATTATGGCTTCATTTGACCATGGGAACTTCCTATTTCTTCAACAGCATCAGTAGAGGATTTAGTCACATCCTTTGAAGTAAAAAATAGCAATCCTTTAAAAATGCAGGTAAAAGCCTGCATTGAAGATGTCACTTAGGTATTATTAGCAAGATATTCTTAAAGTATGGGTGAGTAGAAGTACTTGATGCATAAAATGGCCCTTGTGAGTGACACTGTGCTATTATGTTATAATGTGTGGCTGCGTTTTGCAAGGGGATGCTCAATTTGAACAAGCTTATATAATGTTGGGTAGTTCAATCTACAACAGTGTAGGTTAAGTGGGTAAAAATCAGTGTGTGAAGGTTTAACAATATAGCTGGCAAATAATCGAAGTTGACAAAATGTACTCCTATGAAATATTACTATAAGCTGATGAGTATAAGACTTTTACATGAAAATATGGGGCCTTTTTTTTTACAATAACCTTGTGCTTAAGAGTTCCACCCTATCAAATTGATTATACAAATGAATTAATATAATTTGATGTATATATGACATGTATCCTTTGTGGTATTATTTAGTTAGTGTATAAATAAATAAAAACACAATGCATACACACAGTATACAGATTGTCCACACTAGTCCACACACACACACACACACGCACGCACACACACACACACACACACACCACACACCACACACCTGCACCGACAGCCATCAAACATAATAGGACACAGTAAAGCAAGCAGCCTCACCAACATACAGTAGAATAACATAAGATGCACATGTGTATATGCTGCTGTGATATTTAATATCCATGGGATTTAGTATACAGGCCATGTAGGTATGTTATTACTATGTATGTTATTAAATCCGATGAAGAAATGGCAAATTAATAAATGTTGTCTATAACTCTTAAACAAAACCTCTGAAAGGAGTATACAACTCAAAATGTTATAACTATATCATAAAACAAATGTATAGTCAACTGAAGTAGTGAATCAGGCTAGGCTACACATACCGATGCAAGGAGGAATACTAATTTTTAAAGGGAGTATTTCTTCCTGATGTCAGTTTTTGCCGTAAACTTGCCGTAGTAAAGAAAATAGAATTGAGATTAATGTAAAACAAAGAGAGACGGACAGTATGAGAGCGCGAGACAGGGACAGAGATAGAGATGAGTGGGCTGATGGCTCTCGTGCATTCTTCGCGTGTGTGTGGGCGCGTGGCTCAGGGTTCAGATCTGTCTCCTCCTCCCAACTCTCCCCCACTCCTCCCCCCCTCTGCTCCGACTTAGACAGGCAAAAGGCGGAGGAGGAGCGACGGACCTCACAGTCAACAGACGCTCAACGCTGGGTGTACGGCAGTGGAGTCGGTAGAAGGAACGGAGGAACGAAAGACATAACGGTAAGCTAACGGACACCCCGCGAGGACATCTCCTCGACTAGCTTAACTAACGGCTGCTTGGCATCGACGCTCCTCGCGCTCTGTTGATGCTGCCCTCCTCTTGTTTGTACTTTTAAAGATAGTACTAACATCAGATCATGAAGTAGGGTGATAAAAGAACAAAACTGGGTAAGAAAATAGTTATGCTTTAGTCGAAAATTACCGTTAAATTAACTAGCTTACTGCCCCGGGGCGCAGCTATCAGTCGCATCTCCCCCGGGGCTGTAAGTGAAGCGACACCGCTGAATGAAAAATGATTTCAGAGACAGTAAATGTGTTTATATGATGTATTTTTTGCTGAATGTAACTGTGTTTAGCGTTACTTAGATAAAGAGATTATTTATATATTTTCCGTCTACTCTTTAATGTTCCTGTTGCTCGCGTGCCTTGAGTGTGGGCTACAAATGTGAGTTTTTAACCCTCCTGTCGTGTTCAGCTCAAATCTGACCGATGTACTAGTTTTCATCAAACATACATGTAGTGTTTGACATTTGACTGCCTCAAAGCCGTTATGAAATCCTCCACAGAAGGTATTTGAACATATTACATTGATGGTCACCACTTTAATTTAATTTTGATTGCCCATGTCAACTTTGTATGGTGTTCAATCATGGCCAAAAATGACCGCCATAAGAAATGAATGGGTAGCTAGCGATGTTCATCCATCAGTCAGTACACAGCCACAAATCGACAACATGTTAATTTTGGATTACATCTAGAGTTCTCTTCTTTGTATATTGACTGCAGTAAATCATGTAAACCAGTAGCCGACGGCATTGGTTTTTATGTTAATGTAAGAGCAGTTAAAACAGACCAGTCAAATTTGACCGCGAACACCAAAGCAAGGGGGAGACATGAACACGACAGGAGGGTTAAGGGTATTGTAAGTTGCCAGTTCACCCCTGTCTGAAAAAAAGTATTTTTCTGTGAGCTATAATACTGAGTTCATGTTGACAGTCCTCCTGCTGTGTACCCTTCGTCCTCCGGCTCCTCATGCAGCTGACAGCCCGGTGAGGTCCCGGAGCAGGAGGTCCACTCCCTGCCCGGGTGTAAAAATAGCCCGGTGTGTCAGCTTTAGCATGGGTCACGGACGGTAATGCGACACACGGTTTTGTGCTTTTAGCCCTCCAAGTGGTCCCACCCCACCCCGAGAGAGTAGATCACAAAAACCCGATCTTGCTCCGTTATCTGTTCTTCCTGTTATGTGGGTCAACAGGATGACACTGAAGTGTTTGAAGGTGACACCTGTTTTGTCTTTTCCTTCTTACCGCATCCACCGTTTAACATGTGTGGCACAGTCAAGCAGGTGCAAGAGGTGGAAGAAGTACTCATTTTTGTACTTAGGTAAAAGTAGAAATGCCACAGTCTAGTAATACTCTGTTACAGGTAAAAGTACTGCATTGAAAATCTACAAAGGTATTAGCATCGACATATACTTAAAGTACCAAAAGTAAAAGTAGTCTATTTGCAGATTTGCCGGTTTTCTAATAACTTAAATTATATCTTTTGATTATAATTATTGATCCATTAATGTGTTTATCAAAGCTGGTTAATGTGCAGCTCATTTTGATTCCTTTGTATTCTGCAGGGTAGCTTGCGGATGTTACTCCAACTAAAATCCTATTTAAGTGTCAATTATATTTCATATCATTAATCCAAATCTGCAAATAAACTAAAGGTATAAAGAAATGTATAGGAGTTAAAGTACAAGATGTACCTCTGAATTGTAATGGGGTAGAAGTACAGAGTAGCAACAAATTGAAATACTCAAGTAAAGTACTAGTAACTCGAAATTGTACTTAAGTACAGTACTTGAGTAAATTAACTTTACACCACTGCAGTCAAGATGGCATCAGTTGTAGAGTTGCGAAGCCTCATATTGTGTGAAGAAGCCCTTTAACACCAGCACTTGCTGCTGTGCTGTCTTGTATATGCAGGGGGGTGTTTTTTTTTCCCACCATGAGGTTTTAGTTCAGCTGCAGAGCGGCACAGCTGTCGCACCCACAAGTCACTTTGGTAATAAAGCTGCGGTGTCTGCTCAGGTGCTGATGACTCAAAGGACAATGTAACCTACATTTGTTCTAATGTGTAGCCTGCTTTCAGTTTTTTACTTGTCTTAAAGTGGCGAGTGAAAAATGCATGCCCTGTTTTATTTGACTTAAATAAGCAAGGAGGAAAAATAAAACCTGCTCAGAAGGGAGAGAATTCAGCTGCAAATGTTAAAAATGCAGGCCCAAAAGATGCAAAAAATATATACACATATATATATATATTTATATATATACATCTAAGTGAAAACTCAAAATATTAAAAAAAGTAAGCAGCCCAATTACCGACTCCCGAGCAAAGCCTACAGATTATGGATAAACAAAGAGCTGAATGCTATGAGTTTGCCTCAAATTTCTCAGTGATTATTTTATACAAGAGACCTGCTCTCTTGTTCTCTCGCTGAAAGATTTCCTAATGAGCTCCGAGCTGAGGGAGAAAACATGAAATCCCCTTTTAAATTCAGCTGCAACCTGCAGACACAACACGATCAGCTTATATGACCATAGGCAGCGATGATTTCTATTTTTTTGTTGGTTTTTTTAAGCAATGGAAGGGTGCAACAAAAACAAATACATTAGTGCAGAATGTCTTTGGAGATGAACAAATGTATGGTGGATGTCTACCAGTAAGGCATAATAAGAACCAAGCATAAGAAAGGCAATGTTAGACTCAATTGTGAAACTATGCTAAGCCACTGGTTAATATAGTCCTGGAATTTAAATATATATCGTTTCTGTGGTCTTAATTACAAACAGGATTGTACTGGGCTTAGTTTGACTTGGTGACGCTGACAATGGCCATCTAAAGCACCTTTTGGTATGTTCTCACCAAGCTGCCTGTGTGTCAGTGTAGATGAGCCAGGCAGCTTTTGGCTGGAGAAAAGAGGTGTCCTGGTGAGTAGGTGGCTCTGAGGCTGCAGGCTTCGGGAGAGCAGCAGATGGATGATGATGTAGTGGGTACTGGCGCTCCCTGCTTCCCGCCGCCATCCGTCACGCGCTAATGATCGTGTCACACCTTCTCCCCGGGCGGCCGGCCGCTTCTGCAGCGCTCAGCTCAAAAACTGGTAGCTCAACTCAAATCCCCTCTTCACGGCCGTCGGCTGAAAAGCCCGGAGACAGACTGTGGTGCTGCAAGCCTCTCTTTCACAAATTCTTTGCTCCCCTCTTTCTCTATTGCCTCCTTTCACCCCTCTTCACCTTTAAAGTCCCTGCAGACTTTTTCCTCATCCCTCTTCATCCCCGGCTTCCCTTGCCTCCCATTCATCTTGTGTGCTCTGTAGTGCATCTGCTCCACATCATTCTTTTCCCTCTCTGTCCCATTTATGTCATCCTACTCTTCGCTGGTATTGCTCTCATCTTACAGCTCTTATACACTCAATACCAGCATGGCTTCTCTTAGTTTATACAGTCTTTTTCTGTGATTTTAATGATGGAAGATGTGTTGTTTTTTTCCTTTGCCCACCCATCTCTGAGGTATGGGGTCAGGGTCAGTTTATAGTGCAGCAGACGTGGAGTTTGGCTAAAGGACAGCTCGGCAAGAACTCAGCAACAGCACATTAGGGACTCTCCCAAGTCATTATGTCCTATAGTGTGTTTACAGTAGGTGTCTTCCCTAGGCAGTAAGAAGTCCACCAAGCAAAACAGTGATACATTTCTGCAACATTTCTGCTCTAATACATTGCAGATTATTTTCTCGATTAATTTTATCGAAAATTATTACTCATTTTGTCGGTGAAATTAAAGAAAATTGTGAAAAAGGATTTTTTGAACCCATTGTCACATTTTAAAATTGGTAATTTGCTCTGATCAAGATTCCAAAATGCAACTCTTTACATATGAAAAGCTGGAAAGAAGGCAATATAATTATTGAACTATGACTGATTGACTGTTGATTGATCATTCTACTAATAGGGGCATCTTTTCCATACCAAGAATATTTTTGCTGGGTGGAATCACGGCTGACATGTACTGTGTTTCATTGAGGCGGAATGGGAAGTAAACACCACTTTGCTGGCACATGGAGCGATAGTGGACTTTTTAAAAAAGCGCTATTATCTCCAGTCAGGTGTTAAATAACCATGTTAAGGGACTCAGCATCCTCTGAGCTCGTTATTCTGTCCCAGGCGTTACAGGAATAAGTGTCCCCTTGAGCTCTGTGTAACAGCGGTATGTGTCCCCACTGAGTGCAGTTGGCCCTTCGGTAAAATATGGTGGAATGCAACTTCCTCCGTGTGTGTGTGTGTGTGTGTGTGTGTGTGTGTGTGTGTGTGTGTGTGTGTGTGTGTGTGTGTGTGTGTGTGTGTGTGTGTGTGTGTGTGTGTGTGTGTGTGTGTGTGTGTGTGTGTGTGTGTGTGTGTGTGTGTGTGTGTGTGTGTGTGTGTGTGTGTGTGTGTGTGTGTGTGTGTGTGTGTGTGTGTGTGTGTGTGTGTGTGTGTGTGTGTGTGTGTGTGTGTGTGTGTGTGTGTGTGTGTGTGTGTGTGTGTGTGTGTGTGTGTGTGTGTGTGTACAGTATATGTATCTCTTTGGTGTTGGCAATATTCTCACCACTGGGATCAGAGACTCAGCTTGGCATTCTGGGAATATTAGTGCTGGTGGATCGGATGATACTCTCCACAGCTGCTGTTTCTAAGAAAAGCTTGAGGACACACTCACGCACACACACTCACCAGACATGTGTCCACATGAACACACATGTAAATATACAAGCAAATACCACATCCGAGCACAGGACTATATTTTATCAGCAATTAACTGTCAAGCCAGGAGAGCATTTGGCAAGCAGAGACAAAGGTTAACACTAACACATACGCAGACACACAAGCTACTTGATGTCATTTCCAGCAGCTATGCTTTAATGCCCTGGCAACTGTTTGATATGAGTGTGTGTGTTGGGGGGTGATTGTGTGAAACATTGTAGTGGTGTTTCTATCGTACAATGACCGCTAACACTGTTTTCTCTCCTGTGTTTTTTTCGATATCTTCAGGCTATTTTCCATTGACCAGTAAAGAGCCGGCAGAGAGAGCAACAGTAGAGAAGGCGAGCACGGCGGAGAGGATAATTGCATTTCTGTCTGCCCTGTGGGAACATGGGATATATGACCTCATCATTCACCTGTGAGGCTCTCCAGTAAACAACTCCAGATAGGTATGAACACACACACACACACACACACACACACACACACACAGACTCATGCAAATGCAGGCAAATATATCTTTAAAAGCAGTAAAATATACAAATATGGATTGTATGTGGACGAACACGCAAAAGGACATGACTTCATGTTTTACGTTGTTTAGAAGGATGACTGAAGCAGCTGTAGCAAGAGCAGAGGTCCTCCTGAAAACCTGCGATGCGACATCTTGTGATGTCATCAGTTGCCCCTCCCCACCACCATGTCTGTCCCCCTGCAATCAGATGGAGGACGAGGATTGTCACCATGAAAATAAGAAGCCGGAGCAGCAGGTGAGCGACACAAAATATGGTTTTCACATTAATAATGTACCACGTTAAAATTATGCACACTCCAACTACTTGCGGGATCTCCTAATGACAAATTGTGTCCTCATTGCAGAAAAACTGTAATCAGGTGCAACCAAAGAAAAAAGTGAAGGTAAGCTAAGATAATTCTGCCTCTCATTATTCATTCCTACTGAGACATCTGTTGTATCATTTGTAATATGGCCCATTTGTGCGTGTTTTTCAGGCCAAAGGGAAGTTAGTGCGCAGTGTGGCTGTCTGCGAGGAGTCCGCACCATTTGAAGAAACCGAGGTAACACTAGTGGTGGAATAAGAAATCCAAAGTATAATGAATTGGCATCTAAATATACTTTAAAATGTAACTACTCATTATTCAGAACACCACATTTTAGGTTAATGTATATAGAGAGGCCAAGTCCCGCCCATCTACTTCCGACCCATGGGACCTTATTTCGGAAAAATTATGTATTGAAGTCAATGGAGAGAGAAAGATTATCTTTCAATCCCATTTGAATTGTGCCACGAATTACACATATGATGTTTGTCAATTTAAAAAATGTCAAAAAAGTCACAGTTTGTCGTAAAACTGTTGAAATATAAGACTATGAAAAATACGCAACTAGAAAGAATACAAATCCCAGAATCCCGGTCCCGCATGCTGGCTCTTACGGAACCGACTAACTCCCCTTGTGTGTATGTACAGCTCTCAACACGCCCAGACTTGTAGGGATTTTCACCTCTTTTAATACTTTTCGCCTCATTCTGACAGAAAGAAGTGAAATGTGCCAACGTGATGGCCGTCTTGGTGTGTGGTGCGAGGCAGGAGATGTAGTTCATTGAGTGGTTTCACACCAAAAAAAGTGTTACTTCACAGTTTTACGACACATTCTTATTTTTTTGGCATGCAAAATTATCTTTTAAATTGACATCATATGTGTAATTCGTGGCACAATTCAAACACACACACACACACACACACACACACACACACACACACACACACACACACACACACACACACACACACACACACACACACACACACACTTAGCCAGATCATCATCACCCTACTGAATTTACTTTTTTTCATTTCTTTCCTCTCAGGCATCTCCAGACGCAAACATCTCATCTAGCTGCCATGACAACGAGAGGACTTCCTGTAAGGAGGAAGACGAGGAGATCAGCGCAGATCCAAAGAAACATTCACTGTCCAAAGGTTTGTGTGTGTGTGTGTGTGTGTGTGTGTGTGTGTGTGTGTGTGTGTGTGTGTGTGTGTGTGTGTGTGTGTGTGTGTGTGTGTGTGTGTGTGTGTGTGTGTGTGTGTGTGTGTGTGTGTGTGTGTGTGTGTGTGTGTGTGTGTGTGTGTGTGTGGTAACTCATAAAGAAAGACAAGAGAATGCAAATAAAATGTAATAAAAATGAGATTCAGTGCCGATATTTAGAATGAGTTCTCTTGGGTAGTTTAACATTGCAGTGCGCTTTTTGTACTTATTATTTTTATTGTATCGTAATACTCTCAGAGTCCAGCGTGGAATACACCGACTCCACCGGCATAGACCTGCACCAGTTTATCGTCAACACCCTGAACAGCAACCCCAGAGACCGCATGATGCTGCTGAAGCTGGAGCAGGACATGGTGGACTTCATCACCAGCAATAGGTGTGTGTGTGTGTGTGTGTGTGTGTGTGTGTGTGTGTGTGTGTGTGTGTGTGTGTGTGTGTGTGTGTGTGTGTGTGTGTGTGTGTGTGTGTGTGTGTGTGTGTGTGTGTGTGTGTGTGTGTGTGTGTGTGTGTGTGTGTGTGTGTGTGTGTGTTTTATTGAGCTTTAAAACAAATTGATATGATTCGACATTAAACAAACAAATTATAGTAGATTAACTACATTATTCAAAAGTGTACAGTAACTTACAATAACACGGGAATAATAAACGGAGCACTCTCTCCCTCTCCTGACAGCCCGCCAGTATCATGCAGCTCGCGGATCCAGTAATGAGTGACCCGACAGTAAAACTAAACATATCTATAACTAGTTTAGGTAGTTTGAGAGGTAATTAAAATAGCTACGTGTGATGTTCTAACCTGAAGTGTGTTTTGCTCTGCTCGCCGCTGCAGGTGATCATGCAGAGCTGCGTGTCGACTCGTCAGCAGCAGCTGATCTCTCTCTCCCGTCAGATTAGACTTCACTCGCGTTTATGTCCATATCGATCAGATCCAGATAGTTCTAGCTAATGATATGACTACCTGCTTATCAAAAGACACCTAAACAATAAGCGTCGCTATGCAACCGGTAGAGGCCACAAAGTATAGCGCAGCATTATGCATTTGTTTACATGCCCACCGGAACCCCGAGGCATTACCAACAGATCAACCCACAATCATACAGGACACTCTTTCTCCACATTAAGTGTTAGACATTAGAATTGACTATTCTTGTCTGTCACATACTCTTTTGTTTGTCACATAAGTGGCGCAACTGATGCGGTATTTTGCTAAGGGGAAATTGTGTGTGTGTGTGTGTGTGTGTGTGTGTGTGTGTGTGTGTGTGTGTGTGTGTGTGTGTGTGTGTGTGTGTGTGTGTGTGTGTGTGTGTGTGTGTGTGTGTGTGTGTGTGTGTGTGTGTGTGTGTGTGTGTGTGTGTGTGTGTGTGTGTGTGTGTGTGTGTGTGTGTGTGTGTGTGTGTGTGTGTGTGTGTGTTATCTGCTGCTGAGACGGAGTGCCTTGCAGCTGAGTCTGGCACCCGTTCAAACATGCTGAAATAAAACTTGTATGCATTCTAAGTCCTGTCCCGAATATGGTTTTTAATTATTTAAAGGGACAGTTAAACCCATAATCAAAAGTACATATTTGTTTCCCTTACCTGTAATGCTATCTGTCAAGTTAGATTGTTTTGCTTTGAGGTACTTTATAAAATCCACAGAGCTTGTTGTAAGCAGTTTCATGTGGGAACGATTTTCTTTCTACCAAACACCCTAAACCTTATCAACTTGCTGAAGGAACTGTCCCTTTAAGATATCATTCCAGCTCATTTATTATAATTTTGTCCATACAGCTTATTTAGTGTACTGATCAATATATTGAGCCAGTTACGTTAGGGTGTGTGTGTTTGAGCCACCCCCCCTGCCTCCTTCCTTCTATCCCCCGTTCTCTTATTTCTCCTCAACCTGTCTCTGTCTTCCTACGCCTCAGTCCCTTTAAGAAGTTTCCTCACATGTCGTCCTACCACCGTATGCTGGTCCATCGGGTGGCGGCCTACTTTGGCATGGAGCACAATGTAGACCAGACGGGCAAATCTGTCATCATCAACAGGACCAGCAGCACTCGCATGTAAGCACGCACAAAAATGTCTCTGCACTTCATTTTGTTGAGAGGCAACTGTGAAGTAACAGCGGTTGTTGCTTGTTTGTCTTCAAGACCAGAGCAGAGGTTTTTGGACCAGGTGCATAAGGACAAGACAGAAGAGATCCACCGGTGGAAAATCATTCTGAAGAGAGACAACAGCTCAGACGACCAGGTCTGTCCGTGCTCATATCCCTATAGCTGCCTGTCTCTGTGGAGCTTCCTCTATAATTGACATTGATCGTATCCTATCAGAGTTTTGACCTGTCCTTGTTTGTCTTTTCCGATAGAACCGACTTCACCCCTTACGGGAGAAGCAGAGCAAGTCGATGGAGGAGAGAGAGGAGGAGTACCAACGAGCGAGAGACCGAATCTTCAGCCAAGAGGTGAGACAGGGAGAGGGAGAGCAGGTAGACGGGCAGATATGACATACAGTGGAGACATATAGGAGACTCACTCATTTCTCCTTGCTTTTGCAGCCGGTCTGCACCCAGGAGAGCGCTCATGCAGAAACCAGGTAACCTTGCCCGCAGTACATTCTCTCCATTTGCCTTTTCAGCTTTTTATATTTAGATGAGGACATTAATATATGTCTGTGTGTGTGCTGTGTGCAGGGCTGCTGCGGAGGAGTACAATCCATATGCTGAGACCCAGAGGAGAAGGCAGCTCTTCAGGTAGAGCTCTGTCTGCTGCACACACACTAAGTCATTTATCATCTTAATCTGGTCAGCAACAGAGCTGCTCACAATCTGCAGTGGAGACAAAATGAAGACCTAGATTTCGTTTTTTCGTGTCAGGGTTTAGGATTGTTGGAAATCAGCACATTCTGAACCACACAATTTATGTCAGTGAATGTAATCATGGCATTTATTACGTGTGGCCAATTCTTCAAAGTCAAAACTTTCATCACAAAACCATATCATAGTTATTACCTGGACTACTCTTTGGTATTTGCTGATATCAGAAACTCACAAGCCACGATGCGATTAGAGTAAATTCAGGAGCCTGCGATCGATATGAAATCATATTCTCATCCAACAGTTACATTTATATCAACTCAGGAAACGCAAGTAAAATATGATTTGACATGTTTATTTCTGAGCTCTTCCACACAATTCAATGACAAAAACATTTTCTTTTGAGTTGAAAGCCATTTTAAAGAAGGCAGAGATGATGATATGTATCCATATTTTACTTAACCCTTAGATGCATAAGTGGGTCTTTTTTGACCCGGTGAGGTGGTTTTCTTAGAGTATCTTTGTAATTACATTTTTTTATCATTTCATATTCCAGCTATTCCTCAAAAAACATGTTTTGGATATCATGCCATTCACATTTTAAATTTACATTTTAAGAAATTGTAGTTTTTGTATTACTACCCCAAGCTTCCATAAGTGGGTCAAAAATGACCCGCATGCATTTTCTATGGAATCCTATGGGAACCTTTGATTCTTATCACCTGTGGCTGTCAGGAATACATTCACTGTGACACCTCTCAGGGAGATTATTTTACACAGCAAGATCTGATACCTGTCAGTATAATCATAATAATAATAATAATAATACATTATATTTTTATAGGGCTTTTCAAGGACTCAAAATCGCTTTACAATATAAGGGAAGGTTAGGGTGGGGGGTATAGGACTATCAAACTTGATCAACCGGCATGGATTGATGGGGGGTGGGTTATGAGACAGAGGAGAAGAGATGAGTTTTGAAAAGGGACTGGAATACTGTGAGGGTCTCAGAATAGCGGAGATCTTTGCATCAATATGTTCAAAACGCTTTTTTTCAAAATGTAAAAATAATGTCTAAAATTATAAATATTGAAAGATTAAATATAAAATATTTATTGTGTGAACCAAAATATAATACAAAATATCATACAAGGGATTTTTCTTAACAAAAATGGCATAAAAACACATATTATTCTAATACGGGTCCTTTTTGACCCACTTATGGAAGAGTGTAGGGTCCAGTCACTCGTGCATCTAAGGGTTAACAGAGAGTATATCAGAGCATTGAACCGATATACCATTTGCACACGTACCACTTTGCATGTTATGCAGTGATATTGCTGTAGGATAATGCTCATGTCCTCACAGGGGGAGCCGCGACAGCTCCGGCTCCAGCTGGACGGGCAGCAGCAGGCAAAGTAGCACTGAGACTGACTGTCGCTATAGCAACGAACTCCGACCTTGGAGCAGCACAGACTCCTCAGATTCTTCCTACCAATGGACGAGTCCCGCCATGATACCTCGCCAAGCTGCGAACCACAGCTGGGACGCCGCACGTGCCTCAGGTGTGTCTCCTCTCCTCTCACCTTGTGTCAGAATAACCTTTGGTAACACTTGGCTGTCACACGGGGGTGAGAAACTTCTCTCCTCTCGTACCTATGTGCAAGCAAACTTTTCAGCAGATTTCATCACCTCACCACACTCGGGGAATATCACTGTTTATAAATGATGTCTGATCTTGATTCAGCAGCAGCTAATTAACACCAAATCTGTGGAGGTTCTTCTGGCGTGAAAATGTAACTCAATCCATGAACCTTCACACCATAGCTGTACGTTTTCACACAACACCTCCTGCCTTTTTCACATATTCAAGAAAAACACGTCATTTGCTAAGACGCTGCACACAGTATGTTTTTAGCACAGGCAGAGGGGACGTTTTAAGTTATCAGATTCAAGTGGCATGAGACAACTTTCCCCCCCAAGTCATTTTCAAGTGGTATTATATTTAACGTGTGGCAAAAGACAACCAGATCACTTTCCAGATTGTTCACAGACTCTACTAGCCACACGTGTAGTGGCTTAATCAAACCATTATGATAAAAAGCAATAATTATAAATGTCATATATTTAAGCAATAGCTCACGACAGGCCGTGGTATATGCTCATTATATATATATATATATTATTTTTTTTTTTCTTTTCTCACTCATAATAATAATTATAACAACGTACAAAAAAATAATAAATACAAATAAATTCTCAAATAGTCTCTGTCATGTTCAACAGGGGCAAGAAGAAGCTTAAAAAAAACGTTTCTGGTCCTACCCCCTCGAGCATACATTTTCTTTATAAATAAAATATTAGGTCATCGTCATCAGCGACATGTTTGTCTTGTTAATTTGTTTTTTGTTTTTTGGAAAACAATCAGAAAGAAATTACTTTTTCAATTACAAGAAATAACAAATGGGATTGTACAGGTCCTGTTCATAACCATTCATGATTTGGCTCCTAAATAATACTTTCAGTTTAGATAGACTTGTACAATATGTCAGTGCATCATTACAGTTATTCCACAGACTAACACCTTTTGTTGTGATGCAATGTAGTTTGGCATTTGTTCGTACGGGTGGTTTTTTGAAAATGCAGTTTCCTCTCAACATGTGTATGTTTTCTCTCTGTGTGAAAAGTCCCTGGATATCATGAGGTAATTGTTGATTTGCGGCTTTGAACATAATTTGAATAGTTTTATAGTCAACCAGGTCTTGTAGTTTTAGTGTTTTTAGTTTGATAAATAATGTATTTGTTGGTTCTCTGTGTTATATCACAGCTAAGGGGCGTGGTTACGTGGTTACTTGTATAGGTTGAGGTTGTACTCGGCTGTTGCTTGGCGTGGCGAGAATATTGCTCCACTTTATAGTGGAGAGAGCTTTCGCACCTGTGGCCACTAACGGTCATAATTTCTCTGCTTTGTTTCAAGACCCGCATCAGAAAACTTTTGAATGGGGGTACTTTTCCAGTTGGTCTACCTGCTCTTCACGTAGCTCTGCATGTCGTCGTTTAGGTGCTTTCTGGAGATAGGCACTGCTCAATCCACTCCTCCATAGTAAGGCCACCGCGGAGGTCGAAGTTAACCTTAAATGTTTCCATCTTAAGCTTTGTTAGTTAGTTAGTTTCGTAACGGACGTAATGTAACAGCTGTAACGGTTGTAGTTTTTTCTCAGACGCGGAGGGATACATGACTTGTGAAAAGTAACTACAATTCTACCCGTGATATACGCTCATTATATCACGGCTAAGAACCAATCAGATTGCTTGATTTGACTTGTCCGTTTTATAAACAAATGTAATTAATCATCAGTGATGTTTGAAGTTGTTGCAGAACATATGCAAATGAGCATATGACGTCATCCGGCACCTTTTAGACCAATTCATTTTTTAATTGTATTTCTTACCCTAATACCCTAATACCCTTATTCAGCGGGAGGTTCACTTGGTTCAGTTGGGCTCGAGAGGCTTGTTCAATGGCAGCTTTGATGCTTCTCTACTTTTCCTGCCCTGCTGGTCATTGAGGCGACTAGCTTTAGGTTACGTCTCGCTCAGACAACCATTAGCTCTTTGCTGCCGGCCTTCAGTGGAGAGTATTGCTGCTTTAAGATGTTGACATGTGACTTTGATAATAAAGCTCTTCCTCTCTCTCAGGCTCCATCTCTCTTTTCAGACTGCCATCCACTCACCCTCACCCCTCCACCCCCCCCATCATAGACGAGCCGGCTCCTAACTCTGCCTACATCATAGAGAACGGGATCCCGCCGGGAAGCATACTTGTGAACCCACATACTGGTACATAACACACACACACACACACACACACACACACACACACACACACACACACACACACACACACACACACACACACACACCACACACACACACCCACACCCACACCAGTATATTACATGCACAACACATTCATCATACTCAAACCTTTGACCTTTCAGGGCAGCCTTTCCTGAACCCTGATGGAACACCTGCTGTCTACAACCCTCCGGACAGTCAGCAGCCAATCAGGAGCCAGACTCAGCTGCAAGGCACTCCGTCTCAGCAGCAGGTAACACACACACACACACACAACACACACACACACGCACCACACACACACACACACACACACACACACACACGCACACACACACACACACACACACACACACACACACACACACACACACACACACACACACGCACGCACACACACACACACACACACACACACACACACACACACATTAACACACATACAGCAGTGTTTGACATGCAAGACATGTTCAGACCAACATACCTGTACATGTGGCTGTTTGTGTCTTATTTCTGTCCCACATGTATCTCTCAGGTGCTTCAGTACTCATCTGTCTCGTACACGGCTCCGCAGATGTTGCCTGTCACTGCTTCACAGCCATACACCACCGTATGTATCAATACACAGTCTGAACTCTGACACACACACACACACACGTGTGTTTTCAGTATGCATGTGTGTTTACGGGCATCTTTGTGCATGTTTTTGACCGTCTTTCTCTTGACCGACAGATTGAAGACCTCTCCTCGCAGTTTGCTCATGTGAGCTGTCAATCGACGGGTGAAGCCCCGCCCCTCTACCCTCCCACCCAGGGTTACATCTATGCAGCGCCTCCCCCCCCTCCTCCCCCTCCAAACCCACCCATCTACTGCCAGCCCTCACCTCCGGTACGAAGCGCCTGCACTTTTAATTCTTTATGTCCTTTTTCATTGAAGCAACTACGCATATTGGGAACTTACTGAGAGGATAAAGAGTTGTTTTTATTTCCACTCCAAGAGGTTTAAATGTTAAGAATAGGGCAGACTTCCACTCTATTTTGCTAGTGGTTTGTTTTATTCTCAAAAGTTAGACGTTTATTCTCAAAATACAAAAGGAAATAATAAAAATTCTGATAATGTTGTCTCATGACTGGCCCTAATGCCCTTTCGTATGTTTTTGATTATGTACATGAAATGATCATTGTATGTAAGATTGTCATGTATTCTTATACTTAGTAAACTATAATGTATTCAATATTGCTGTTTTAGGAAAACAACATGTATGCATTCTGGATTAATAAACTCAAATGTTGCTTATACAGTCATTAAGTTAAATGTAAAGGATAAATGTATGGTTAATAATAATATTTTTCATTTTTATTTCCCATAGTTACCTGTGTATTACTACGGCCAGTACCCTACCTCAGCTCAGCACCAATGCAGGCCCGTCTCCCCGAGCCAACACATCCTCAGCCAAGCAGCCCCACCGACAGGTACTACCCAACTGCGTGTGTGTGTGTGTGTGTGTGTGTGTGTGTGTGTGTGTGTGTGTGTGTGTGTGTGTGTGTGTGTGTGTGTGTGTGTGTGTGACAGACGCAGCCCGTGGCAGTAGAGGAGGGGGCCGTTACACTGTCAGAGATGTAGTCTGAGGGTCTCACAGTGAACCGGTCTCTTTTCCTGCTGCTTCTATTCAACGCATCGACAGAGAGCGAGGAGACACGTTTAAACCCGGCTCTTTATTCGAATATAGAAAGTCTTAATGAGCGACTGTATCTGAAACAGCTGCGAAGTGTCCGTCAACACCTTCTAGGCATCAGCGGCTGTTCAAAAAACTCAAATGTATGTTTATAATAAAGACTCAGCGTCCCAACACAGAAATGCAAATGAATCAGCCGGACTGCACTAATGATGGACAAATGTAAATGTGTCTCCCAAGCAGTGTTTTTGTTGCTGTTATTATTTCATATTGCCAGTGAAGATTACATTGTTCAGACTGAATTGATGAATATAAATGTTTCCAACTAGAGCTGCAGCGATTAGTCGCAGCGTCAGAAAAGTAATTGCCAAATATTTTCAATATCGATTAATCGAAGTTATTTTGAAAAGAAATGGCCAAAAGAAGTTCCCTGCCTGTCGAATCTTCTGTTATTTATTTCAAGAACCTGAAAACAGAGAGTTCTTACACATCGAGAGAATAATGAATCATTTTGGCATACACTTTTATTTATTTTCTTCATTTGAATGCTGTATTAAATCGTTGTATTGTCCTCAAACAGCTGGAGAGCTCTTCTGAGCATGAACCCTTTTCTTGAACAAACTGCAGCGTTGAAATATGTTGTTAATAATCTTTTACATAACTGTGTTTGCAGCCGCTTACGGCCCTGCTGTGGGGGTGCAGCAGCCCTCTCACCCCCCGCCCCAGGCTGTGCTGGGGTCCTACACAGCAATGGCCCCTCATCAGCGTAGCATAGCTCAGGTAAACAACGAGCCCCCCGAAGGTCTCGTTGGGCCCCAAACAGCCCCCAGAAGAACACTTCACAAAGTGCTGGTGTTTGCAAGTTCTTCACTCCTACTTTACTTTCTCTTTCTCTGCAGGGAGGCGTTTCAGTGTCCTATCCCCAAAGTAAAGTTGCCAGGGAGGGGGGTTACTGCTGCGTGGTGCCCCCACCCCCCCACCTGGGCAGCTGCCACCCTCCCAGCTGCCCCCCCCTCGGTGCCCCGGCCTGGGGCGCTCAGTACTGATGAAGCCTCGGCGGACGGAGCCATGATCGCTGAGTTCCTCGTGAACTCACATGCGTAGTTTCTTAACACAAACACCTTTTTCCACCCCCCCTCCCCCCAAACACCCGCCTTACTTCTTACGATGCCCACAGGGTACACCTTTCTCACTCATAACAAGCATGCGCACACACACACACACACACACACACACACACACACACACACACACACACACACACACACACATAAACCCCCTCACAGACAGAAATGTACCACTGTACCAAAGCTTAATAGTATATATCAGAGCTGCTGTATTGAATGCATAATTTATATTCACAAATGGAGTTTTATATTGATATTAAATTATATATTGTGTTCCAAGAAAATGCACTGTGTGAATAGAATAAAGTGCTGTGGCTGGATTGACGATGTCACATTTCTATATCATCCTGACTCCTTGTTTCCTCTGATGTTGGTGAGCAGATGCTAATGCTGGCGTGGTGAGATACATACACCACAGAAGAAAGTACATTATACGAAGACATGCATGCGGTGCACAATGCATATTTTTGTGCACATAATTACAGACTACATCAAGTCTCTCCTCTAGGGGAATTAACATATTTTTACGTCTACTTCAATTGTCGTGGCCCACTGGCAGATGCAGACATAAAATACAATGCTTACCCATTCGCTGCCAGAAATAAGAACAATTTGTTCTTAGGTGACAAGTTTAATGTTAATTTCTAGCAAAGGCCAAATATTAAAGGTCACCTATTATGCAAAATCCACTTTCTCATGTCTTTTCTACATAACCATGTGTCCCCTCTGTGTAAAGAGATGCTGAAAGTTTCAGGAAAACATATTTGCTCTCTTTTTGTCCTGATCCATTTATATAAAAACCTGTCTGAAAATGAGCTGATCAGATTTTGGCCACTTTGTGATGTCATAATGGTTTTTTGGCTTGTGTAACCATTAGCCAATAACCAACCAAGGTAACCCCCCCCCCCCCACCTTATCACCTGCATTTCCTCCGAGAGCACATTGTGTTCTTTTTAACCAAATATCTCTCAGAGGGGCGTGGGGAGTGGCTCCTTATTTTCATCTAATGTAACAGACCCAGAATCAGCACTTTTGAAACAGGGCTGAAACAGAGGGGATTATGGGATGCTGCAATGATCTGTATTAGGAGCCAAACACTTCAGAGACATGTTTTGTATATATCTGAGACCTATAATATATTGATGAAAAACAGTATAATAGGGGACCTTTAATTTAAAGCCTTTATCTACTGTTAGTATCACATGATAATCAAAATGATGTGTGCACTGAGGGAAAGCAGAGATATGCGTTGTTGACCTGCTACTGAGTTCATAAATAGGAGATGAAGGTAATTGCCTTAATGTCTGAATAACTAATGAGCAAGAGGAAGATTTACCATTAACATGTTTGAACATTAAGGGCATTTAGTCTTTAGGAATCGTGTTACTAATCACTATAATGCTCACACGATGGGATTCTTCGTACAGTCGAGCAATAATATTGACGTTTTCACTCTAATAAAAACAAGTCAATGTGGAAAATTGATGCAAATTACTTAAACAACATTGTCAGTTACCATGTTCATCTGAAGGAGTCTCACTCCGAGGCATGAGCACCCCCTGCTGCTCAGAGACTCTCAGTGCACTCCTCACGTTACACAACACAAGTCTTTCTAACACTAGCATATCTAGCAATCATGTATAATATTTCAACATTTAAAACGGAAATTAGTTAAATTCGGCCTGGGCAATTCACTGCTATGCTTGCCAATTAATTACATTTTGATAGACTTACAACTAATTATTTAGATTTTATTTCTACCTATAGGGAAATTAAGTAAGTTATTACTTTGTGACTCGTTAGCAAAGCCCAGGTGTTACTAATCACATTAACGATGGCTCTATTAAAAGGGGAATTCAGCCGTCATTAATTTAATTACACACACCTGTGATTTTCCTGCTGACAGGTGAAAACTGTTCAAACATACAGATCAATACCAAACTAAATTACTCTCCACACGTATACTGAATAATCACATTATAAAATGCTCTCTGTTTTAACTCTTCCAGCTTCTCCTGTAAAAATTGTCCTACAAGCAATAACAGATCAGCCAATGTGTGTTATTGTTCAGATGCTGCTGGGTAATTCATTTTGCTGAGAAAATTATTCATATCCCCCCCCCCCCCCCCCCCCAACAAATTCAATGAAACATATCCATCATCCGCACACGGCTTTAAAATTAAATTTAGATTTCATTACTGCGGTACTGAATGCAATATTTATACAACGGTTTTCAGAAAGCCAGCTCTATTTCTGTCCTTCCTACATTCAAACACACACAAAGAAATCAGCCGTGCAGGTTCCATGATCTTTAATAAAAGGCACATGTACAGCCATAGTGAGATGAGTGAGTCCACTGGCATAGAGACGAAGCATTAAAACACAGAAATACAGGAAGTAGAGAGGAGAGAGATCTATCCGCTTTACAGTCTACTTAAGAAACATCTTCTCGTTCTCGTTCAAGTAAGTCTAACACTAATATGTCACTGTGGTAAGGTAAAACTCCCCCTGTCGCCCCCGTCCCCACACACACACTCACACACACACATCATCCATCACCACTCAGAGTCTGATCTTCCAGAGAAATCTCCCCGTGAAGCTCGGAGCAGATGAAGAAGCTCCCAGTCTGGTTTCTGACTCCGCAGAGTTCATCCGTCACACGCAGTGCACACATCGATCTCACACTATCGAGGGCATCTTCCTTTTATATTTGCTCAAAGACACTAAAAGTCCAACCGGTCTCATTCTGGAAAACAACCTGGCTCTGGTTCTCTGTGTATCAGTTACTTTGTAGTATTTTGATGGAGGAAAACTGCTAAAACATGATAATCACACATTTGACTGAAGATGGTGTTGTTTTTCTACTGACACCTTGAAGATGATCAACGCTCATACACTCAAATAAAATCAGTCTTTCTCCGCTACTGACAGGAAATGACAAAGTGATTGGAAAAATTGGTGGAGATTTTACTGATGTAGGAAACAGCATTTTTTTCTTGATTAAAACATAACATAACCATTTAATTTTCTTACGGCCCTTTATAAAATAAATAAATGTACTTTCTGGTGTTAAAACTATAGATAGATGATTGTTTCTAGATTACCTCAAACTAGCTTTTGAATTTCATTTTTCAAATTGTCCAACATATACGCTAATACCAATATAACTGCAATAGAAATGGCTAATATATCACCCTGGTTAATCTATAAATATGTATCTAACTACCGCCTTTAAATCAAGATCATATTGGAACTAAATAAACTGTTAAATAAAAGTATGATATAAAATAAAATTATAAAGATCAAAATAAAGTAGTTACACAGGATCCAAATACATTTGCTGTTAATCATATTACCAAAAAGCAGCTGACACACATCGGACCTGAAGTCTGTTTGTAACTCAGTCCTGTCCTCAGGGATTGATTTCATATCGGGACAATTTCACAAGAACAACAGTTGTGATCCGTTTACACACACACGCACGCACGCACGCACGCACGCACGCACACAAAGGCAGTCAGTCACACGCTAAAACCCAAAATAAAAAATAAAAAGTTCACAGGTATTTAAATATGCAGAGAAATAAAAAGGGATATTAGTGTTGGAGGTTATATATATATAACCACAGATGGAGAAAGAAGTCGAAGAACTAAAACATGAACGCAGCCGTCTCTCCTGTGTTTGAAGGGGAAAGGGGCTCATCGGGGGGAACACAGTCTTTCTCCTGTTCTGGCAAAGCTTGCGACGCAAAATGGACACCCTTTTTTCAAAACAGAAAGACATCGTTGAAAAGACTCAGGCATTAAGTGTAGGAGGGAAGGGAAAACACACACACACACACACACACACACACACACACACTCATTCATTCACATGTCCAAAGAACTGCTCCGTAGAGTCAGTCGCTCTATTTTCACATTATCACGTCTTTGGGACATTTCAACATCAATCAGAGAGTTTGGGGCCACACTCAAGGGTCCGTCACTTTACTCTCTTTCTCCCCTTTCTCTCCCTCACACACACACACTTCCACACACACACACACACACGCAACAAATACACCACACTTTGTTTGGTGTGTGTGCTACCTTTGGCTGCAGGTGTCAGGGGTGAAAGGTCAAACATCACCTGACCTCAGAGACCCCCACAGGTACACACCAGAGCCGCCTCCCTCACCCCATCACCCCCGCCTGGGCCTTTCGGAGGTTTCACCCCTCCATCCCATAACAATGCCCACCCGTCTCCACAGCGACTCACAGCTGCCCCTCGCGCAAGGGGTCTCACTATCTTGTAAAAGGAGGTAAGTGTAATTAGTGGTGTGTGTGTGTGTGTGTGTGTGTGTGTGTGTGTGTGTGTGTGTGTACCCTGCGTGAGTGTGTGAGAGTGTGTGTAAGTGTTAAGAGGTATCAGTGGTTCAGTGGTGTCCCTCTTTAATCTTCATCAGCCCCTCGCCCTCCTTCACCCTTCTTCTTCTTCTTCTCTTTCGTCCTTGTCATCTTCATCCCCCTCCTCTTCCCCCTCCTCTTCCTCCTTCACTCTTTATTTTTGGACTTGGAAGATGAACAGGCGCAGGTTGATGTTTTTGGCGGCCAGCAGTTTGTTGCACTCCACCGAGTCGGAGATGGGCAGCGGGACGTACTCGGTCTCGTTGGCGTCGTTGCAGAAGGAGTGGTGGTGGATGACCGGCTTGATCCGCACGTCGTCGTACGGACCCTTCAGCAGCAGGAAGGAGCACTCCAGGGCAGAGTTCACCTACACGCACACACACACACACACACACACACACACACACACACACACACACACACACACACACACACACACACACACACACACACACACACACACCACACACACACACACACACACACACACACACACACACACACACACACACACACACACACACACACACACCACACACACACACACACACACACACACACACACACACACACACACACACACACAAACACACACACACGTTATTGTATCAGCCATAACATTTGCTGCCTAGCTATGCACCCATTTTCTTTTTAAATATATAAATACTTTTGATAAGAATCCTGTAAATCTTAAATAAAAACTAATATTTCTGGCACATACACATCATTTACGTCCGTCCAAAATGTCATCACTTCCTTATTTTATTCCATTAGACCCTATATATGGTATTGGTATATCGAGTACACAATACATTCACTCAATTGTATTCATTTAGAGAAGTATTTCCACTCAAAGGGGACTTTTTCTTTGTTTTACCATTTTGATTTGATACTTTTAAAAGCTCAGTGCAGTGGTCTATATGTTTTATTACAACTCAATTGTCAGCTGTTAAACTCGACACAAACTCCTCTCAGGATTTATTCGAGTCATTACACTCAAGTAGATGCTACTGTCCAGGACTAAAGGCACTTAACTTCCTTATGTCAAATTAAAGGGTTGCTTGATTTAAATTGAGGGTGAAACATAAGGGTTGTAACCTCATTTTTTATTTGGGGCTTTACAAATGAAATGGACATGAATGAGAGAACGATAACAAAAATCACACTCAGTTGATAGAGCAGGAAGATATAACTATAGTCTTTTACCCAATCACACCAAAGCAGATGTGCTAAATTCAAATGCTATTCATATTCAATTCTAATCAGAAAATAGCAACTTAGATGGCAGCAAAAAAAGTGCTTCTCACTTGTCTAACACTTCCAGGTCATGTTCTTAACACCTCGCTCTGAAAATAAGTACGCTAACGAACTTTAAAAATAAACACGGACAGACGTTAGTGTGCGTACCTTGCTTTTGAGGATCAGCTGGAAGGAGAGGGTGCGTTTGCACGACAGGTTGGGGTTGCGCTCGGAGTCGTTAACACGGGCTTTCAGCACCCACGTCTGGTTGAGCACGGTGAAGCGCGGCGTCTCGTAGTACAGGCGGGTGATGAAGTCGTCCGTGCGGTACGGCCTGAACTGCACCTCTGGATGGAGCAGAGCAACCAGTTTATCTAATGTGAGGAAAGGATGTTCTTAAAGGGTAACTTCTGTATTTTCCAACCTGAACCACATTCAACCCCAACATAACTGTAGTGGATTTAAGGATAACATTGCAGTCCTTTGTGCGCATGCAGTGATCTAGCTCAATACTCGACCAATTTATATTGTTCTGCCCTCATTAGGCGCTTTCACACCAAGTACTTTTCCCAGGAATAGTTCCCGGAACTTTTATTTCCTGGAACTTTTATTTCCTGGAACTATCTAGTAAATCGCGTTCACACCGGAATAAGTCCCTGAGGGAGGATTAGGCAAATGAAGCCGCTGACGTCACTTCTTCTTCTGCTTTGGGTTTACTGGCAGGCCGCTGTCACTACCCGATCCGCATCCCTACCCGATCCGCACTGCGCATGTGCGAGATGGTCCGCCATATTGGGCAACTCCATACGGCAACTCAAATAGGACATTTGACGTCTAGACGGCTGCCCGATTTGCATCGTGCATGCGCGAGTCATAAACGTCTCAAATATCTATACAAAAATATTTTGTTATTTTATTTTATTTGAAATAAAATGAAGGATATTCACAGTTAATGTAATTAGATATAAATTATGAATGCCATACATATTGCATACATTCACAGTCAATATTTCTTCAGTATGATAGCTGTCTAACAGAAGCTACATCCATTTCTCACTTATTCTGACAATGTACTTAACCCAATAAAAGGAGTTGTTAAATAATAGTGAAGTCACGTTGTAATAACAATAACTCATCTCTCTCGTTCAGATTAATATTGTCGAGTTTTTTTTGTTTTCTTTTTCTGCTTTGCCAAACGCCACTGTGTCAAGTGTCCTATTTGAGTTGCCGTATGTAGTTGTCAAATATGGCGGACCATCTCGCGCAATGCAGATCGGGTAGGGATGCGGATCGGGTAATGACAGCCGCAAACAACCTCACGGCGTATACTGTCACCCGAAGTCCCCGGCCGGAAGTCCCCGGAGTTGGGGACTGGCTTCGGTAGAAGCTGCTGGGACTCCCAGCCTTTCGAGTAAATCGGCAGAACGCAGACACCTCCTCATCACTCCACCGCTCCCATGTTTTTTTTTGTGTTGCCATAAGTTAGTCCCTCTCCATTGGTGCGCTGGGCTAATGCTAATGCTGATAATGCTAATGCGAGTAAATAAAATGGCGGCTTCACAAAACTTTTCGGAGTTTTACGGGGCGTGGTTTGCAATTCGCCCAGCCAATCAGAAATTGGAACCTTTTTCTCCCAGGAAAGTACCTGCTCTCTAGCAGGGACTAAAAAGGGGTGAAAAGGTTCCCGAAAAAAAGTTCTAGTTCCAGATCTTTTTGGTGTGAACGCAAAATCCCAGGAACCATCGGAACTATTCCTGGGAAAAGTACTCCGGTGTGAAAGCGCCTATTGGTCAATACAAAAACATACAAAAATGTGCATTAAAAAGTTACCCTTTAAAGGTTCATTGTAGCATCCCATAATCCCCTCTGTTTCAGCTCTGTTTTAAAAGTGCTGATTCTCTGTCTTTTACTTTAGATGAAAATAAGGAGCCACTCCCCTCTGTGAGATATTTGGTTAAAAAGAACACAATGGTGCTCTAGGAGGAGATTCAGTGGTTATTGGCTAATGTTACACAAGCCAAAAAATCGTTATGACATCACAAAGTGGCCAAAACCTGATCAGCTCATTTTCAGACAGGTTTTTATATAAATGGATCAGGACAAAAAGTGAGTAAATCTTTGTTCCTGAAACTTTCAGAATCTCTTTACACAGAGGGGGGGACACATGTTGATGTGTAAAAGACATGAACAAGTGGATAGGTGACCATTAAGATTTTTCCCCACACTATCATAATTTCCCTTTTAATTCTTGAAAGTACCTGTAAAGCCGATCTTCTCGTAGCAGAGCAGGCCGAAGATGCTGTTGTAGAGCTGCATGTCTCTGCGGTGGCTCTGGTCCATATCTCCCAGAATGCCCATCAGCTCCGTCCCAGTCTTGGTGGGGTGGGAGCACTCGCTCTCGTGGGCCGGCAGCTCTTGGAACGGACCCTTCCAGGGGCAGCCGATCCTCTTGTATTTACACTGCGTCACCCTGGGGAATAATAATGGTGAGGGTGAGTTAAAAGACAAACTTTGTATATTTTATATTAAATATTAGAAAGATATTTACAGAGGAGCTTTTTGACAAATACATGTCCTTACCCCGCAGTGAGTGGAAGGTATAATAATACCGAAAGGAGGCTATTAACTTAGGTGTTGAACTGAGGCTAATTGTACTGGACAAATAATACATTTGTGCAGAGAGCCAACCTCAAGAAAGAAACTCTTCGATTGATATCAATTACATCCTTTCATTCTTAATGAATACCTGTTACGTACTCAGTTTAAAAGTGAGGTAATAATAATGTGTACAGTAATGGTTAGCCTCTGAAGTGAACCAAGAATAACTAAAACCACACTTACGTAACTCACTTCCTGTTACCTGCAACTTTTGTCTCATACATATAACCAAGTAGCTTTAAGAGGTTTAGTAGTTTGGACTCACTACTTTGAGAAATAACTTAAAAATACCTTTTATCACTACATGACAATGACTGATTTAGAAATTAGTTTTCACTGTGACTTTATAACATCTGTGCAGGGACTACAGGTACAACAATGGCTAACTCAGTAGGAAGATGTATTATTGTGCACTATCCCTGTCTAATAAACAAAAAAATAAAGTAAAAATGTTATTTATTTGACATCTTATTCATCCCAATTTATTTTACACATCATTTTCCTTGTTTGGAAATTGTAATGTATTTTATTATTTGAGAATGCTATTGGCTGCTTTGTAATACATATACATACTTTTTTCATTACACTTTCCTTCTTTTTGTTATTAAATAAATGATCGTATGAGTGTAACTAAAGGTTGAATGAAAAGCATCCCTAAATGAAAAGTAACAGTGGCATTAATAAAGGAGAACAGCGTCATCTGTAATAAGGAAGCAGTCGGATCCTCGCCTCACATTTTTCCGTCTGACCCGAGCAGAAACCTGGTGACTGCCTTGGACGTTGTCGTGGCAACATTAGCACAGGCACAGCTGTCCTGAGCAGGGTCACCTGTTGCTATAGCAACAAGCCCATAGGATTTCATGCATTATAGCTCAACCAGCCTGAACGTCACACAAACTCATAAGCAAACACACACGCAGTGGATCACATCAGCTGCTTTCCTTCCTCAGAGTTAGCAGCTGGTCACATGCTCCGCCATCTTCCCCAAATTAACTCTGTGTGATGTGATACCACACACACACACACACACACACACACACACACACACACACACACACACACACACACACACACACACACACACACACACACACACACACACACACACACACACACACACACACACACACACACACACACACACACACACACACACACACACACACACACACACACACACACACACACACACACCAGGGTTTCCGTTAGCCGGTAATTACCGGTTTTTAGCTCTGGTAAAATGTATTCAAAACCGGTAAATTCAAAACCTGCCGGTCAAAATGTCCGGTAATAATTAGGGATGCTCCGATCGATCGGCCGCCGGTCATTATCGGCCGATATTCACTCTTAATAGTTTGATCGGTGCTATAAAGGCTGATCAGGAGAGCTGGATCAGATCGATATGGACATAAACGCGAGTGAAGTATAACCGGACGCGAGAGAGAGATCAGATCAGTTGCGGAGTCTGACGGAGGCACGCAGCTCTGCATAATCACCTGAAGCTCCGCCCTCTGTTTAGCGAGCTGCATGAGTTACTGACGGGCTGTCAGGAGAGAGAGAGAGAGAGAGGGGGAGGGAGAGGGGAAAAGAGAGGATCCGTTTCTCCCGTGTTATTATTCAAAGTTAATGTAAACTTTTGAATAATGTACTTCATCTACGACAAGCAGTTTGTTTGAATGTAATAATTATGTTGTTTGTTGAATCATTTATTGAAAAATGAATCTGAATTTTTCGATCTGTTACGATTATAAACTGAAGCAATATAAAAATAACTCCCATTAACTGAGTTTTAAACATCAGCATATCCGGTCATAGTCCGGTAATTACCTGCTAACGGAAACTCTGCTACACAATTCATATTATTATTATTGAAACATGACCGGTAAGTTTCAAATTTGTCCGGTAAAATATATTCTGTCCGGACATTTGACCGGCAAGAAAAAATCCAAGCACACACACACACACACACACACACACACACACACACACACACACACACACACACACACACACACACACACACACACACACACACACACACACACACACACACACACACACACACACACACACACACACACACACACACACACACACACACACACACACACACACACACACACACACACACACACACTCTACTGGCAATTTTGTGTGGTGGTATGCACTCAGCTTTTATTTTAATGTTTCCCTTTTCTTTAACTTTCAGCATCTTATTTTTTTTTTAAATACCTTCACTCCAGCTTGGAATATGAATTCAAGCTCGATAAAAGAGGGGGGGGGGGTATGTGGGTGTAGCTAGTTAAGATAAAAGGAAAAAGGTACATTTGTGATTTATATCAGAATGTGTAGGACAATATAGATTTTATAAACCAAGTAATGGCCGAGCATTTTTATAAATATATATGTTTTAGAAGTCTGTTATTCATTTGTTTTGTGGTTCATTTAATGACTGCTGTTAGCAATATTTGTTTTAATGGAGAAATAACTATCTCAACTCTTCCTTCAATGTCTCTCAGTATCACCCCCTCAGTGCCATCTTTGGAGCTATTTTTGAAATTTTGGCCGAACCTTTCCTTAAGGGTCTTGACATCTCTTCCCAAAATGTTTCTAATTTAGGGCATGTCCAAAATATGTGGGTATAGTTACCAATTTGCGAACCACAACTTCTCCAAGATGTATTAGAGCCTGTGTGGGGAAAAGGTGAGTGTGTGTGTGTGTGAGTGTGTGTGTGTGCTGTATACCTGTCTTGGCAATCCTCTTTCTGGTGTCTCTCTAGGCTGGAGCGGGGGAACTGTTTTGTGCAGTAGGCGCACTCTGTCGGCAGCTCGCTGACAGCCTTCTCCACGGCCAGGTTCCTGCAGCACAGGTTCTTGCTGATCTCACACCTACACACACACACACACACACAGGAAGCCACATGTCACCCCTCAGTACAGTATAACATTTGTGGTATGTAAAGAATGTTTGTACAAGTTCTTGAACAATGCACAGTGATGAATTGCTAGTTACGTTATGCTTTGGCAACAGTTGGTGGTTATTTCATCATACTGCAGATGTGTGAAATTACTGTCAACGTGCAAAACCAAAACAAGTTATCTCTTCCTGTGACCATGCAGTAGTGATGATGAATGTAAGAGTATGCAATGCATTTTGATTCTGAGAACTTAATGAATTTAACTAGCTTTTGAAGGCATCTTACAGTCATTACTGTAATAATGTTGTTCTGCTGTTTGACATCATTCTTACCTTGCATTAGCTCAATTAAATATGGGTTTTTTTCAACTCCAGTTGGTATTAGCTAACATCACATACTCCCTGACTGAGAACTTCGAGACAAACAAATCAGGTTTTTGGATCATGTATTATTGGATAAAATTATATATATTGTCTACATTATTTGGCCAGAAAAGTAGTTATTCTCTACTTAGTGTCTGTGTACAGTATAACTGTTTTCAAACAGCAGTATGGGAACATATGAGAATGCTTATAACCAAAATGTAATATTTAAACCATACAAAATGATCTAGTATCATTAATTTAATTATTTAACAGTCCCTTATTCTATAGTACTTCTCATTTCCCTTCCCCCCCCCCCCAACTTGTGTTAAGCTGAATGTCACGTCCCCCTGAGTTGATTGGAGGGTAATTCAGAACACCTGTTGCACAGGGTGTGGGGACAAGCTGCTGATTAAGAATTGACAGCAGCTTGATGTATTGCCCCTCCTGGCCAATCAGGGTGTGACCACGCCCTTTCTTTGGGGCTTAAAGGCACAGTCACACCTGTGCTCCCCTTCCTCAGTTCAATTCCATTCCATGAGAGCAAAGGGGCTTTGAGTAGAGTTCAACTTTGGTGAACTTTACAACAAATATCGCCTCAACTGTCCCTGGCCTGCTTTGGCCCCTACCTGATACAGGTAGGTCACTGTAAAAACAGGGCATTTTGATCCTTCCTCCACTTAATACAAACCTCATGCTAGCAGATATTGACAGCCAGAAACTAGGCACTTTTGAGCTGTGTTTGCTGTCTTGACTCTTCTGATTGAAGTTGATTTTTTTTGATGAAATCTAGATTGAGTAAATATTTAAAAATAACTTTCCACCTGCATCAGGGCGGATATTAGCACCAGTCATGCAATAGTTTAGACATTTTCTTAAAATTGAAGGTACACTTTTTTTTCTCATTGTGACACACTTCTGGGATTTGTACATATTGTATGTGGTTTGAAAATGAGTTATCCGGCTTCCTCCCATCCCGCTCGAAGTACCTGCAGTTGGGACACGTGGCCTGTTCCTCCTTGAGACGAGAATCGGCCAGAAGGTGGATGAAACAGCCTGCACACATCAGGTGTCCATTGGAACACTGTGGTGGGGAAAAAAGACGAGGGCACAATCAAACTAAGTGTTTAAGGAAAGTTAAACAATTATTATATTCATTAATCTGGATCCTAAGTGGGAAGAGACGGAGGGAAAATGTTTATAGTAGTGCAATCTAAACTTTCTCTTGTTACTTAAATGTAAACCTATATTTTGTTTACAACTAGGATTCATTTAAACAGTATTAATTGGGACATCTTGAATATTATATTTTGGTTAAGTATTTTTGAAGAAACGGGATACTAATCTTGGACATTTTATTTATATTTCAATCAAAACGCATAATTTGTTCGGTTAATGCTAGTCTTTCTTAATTTAAGTCATAAAACAGGATTGCTTAAAGCCGCTAAAATCATTTGAGTAGCAGAAAAGCAGAAGGAACAGAAGTATTTCTGTAGAGCGGATATAACTGGAGTTGTATACTTTTCTATGTGAAATAAAATAGGGATATATGTAAGATATGTGGACTACTTGTTGTGCTTCTCTTAATCAACACATTTTAAGGGCAGAATATTGTAAGGAGAGAATGTCATCTTGTGTTAACACAGTATTGTTAACAAATGGTAAATGACTGTTTTAATGTGTGAATGCCACGTAAATGTTTAGGACGAACTAAACAATTATTTATTACCACTGTGTTCACTTGACATTGAAGAGAGCACTTTGAGGTCATGGAGAATGTTTGGGTCGGTCAAAGGGCAAAGGTTGAATAAAATTAAAGTTTTGGTTAAGTGCTGGATGTTTGAGTTTTATGTGGTGGTTGGGGATGTGGCTTTGCTGAGGGTTATTTGGGGATAATTCATAGTATAATGTCATACAGCTGGCCCTGGGTGTGTCTGGCAGGCCCTGGGCCTGGGTGTGTCTGCTCTCATGGCTCAGCTTGCAGCACTGGGGCCTGTGTTGTATCTAGTATCAGTAAAAACGGAGCTGGCCAACACATTCAACAGGTTGGGGATCAGCAGTTAGCACACTTTGGGGTGTCTCTAGTATGAGGTCCAGCTTGCTTGCTGTTTGACAGTGTTTTTTTTTAGGATTATTGTGAGGGACCGTAGGTTTGTGATTGACACCGTGTTTACCTGATATACAGACGCCTTGGGCAAGTCTATGCACACGGTGCAGCACAGCACTGAGTACAGCCTCTCCTCCAGCTTTCCTGACTCTCCATCGGGCACTCTCACCCTCTTCTTGGGTGGCTCGTCTGGGTCAGGCTCGGGCCCTTCTCTCCGGATCCCGACCTCCTCCTGCATGGCTGCGACCCCGGCGACAGCCTCAACCGCTGCCCCCACGGCCCCGACCCCCATGCCGGCCGAGGAGGAGCCAGGGGCGGCCACACCGTCTCTCTCTTCCAGTGAAGACATGACGACGGCTGTCTAGATATTTCTGAGGTGTACCTGCCGCTGAGCCTGAAATATTAGCAGGTTAGCTCAGTGCTAGCGTACAACCTGTCAGGCTAACGGTCAGCTGACAGCTAGCTAACGTCGGCTAGGCTAACGCTCCGGCAGCAGGCTGTCAGAGAGGAATGCAGACTAACTTATTATTATTATCAATGCCACCCGCCACTTAAAATGTAACAAGCCAATGTGTTATAACGAGATCATGTGCATAATAACAACTTAATTAGACTAGTTGTGTTGACTTACAGTGAGACTAGCAGACTATGCGGCTAGCTACGTTGACAAAAACACAGCAGTCCTCTCCCTCTGCAGAACAAAAACAACTCAGCTCGGCTCTCAGCTGTTGTTGCTCTCGACGCCGTTATTCGCCCTGACAGCAGATTACAACGATGTACACCGGTGGCCCAGCTCGGCTCCTCATCTACCCTCCCTGCTCCGATACCGACTGACTGTCCGCAGAGGACCCACTGGACCTGTCGATGATTAAAGCCGAGGGTAGAGACAGTTCTGCTGGGACTCGTCTCTCTGGTTACACAGCCATCTTTGTTTTTTTTCTTCCTGTCCGTCTCCCCCGACTTCACCCTGCACAGCCTTAACGACTGCGGGTCAAATTCGTTATTACTCAGGCAGGTTCTCGATGGTGGCTAATAAATAATGTCATTACAAGTTCAATATGCTGTGTCTCCAACGGCCTGTAGCCTATGTGGCAGTGACTACTTCAGCACAGCCGTGTGTTTGGCTGACAGCGGAATGTTTATTATGGCAGATGACTTGGGGTATTTAAAGAGTTTTTAAACGCGCATGCGTAGAAAGCACCTGCGGGTCAGTGTGTATGGCAATACGTGAAAGGTGATCAAAACCTGATATGCGACAAAAGTAGGCCCCTCCATCAGAGGAAGCATATTTTATGTACTATTTATAGACGTACACATTATAACACTTAATGGGATTTCTAACAAAACTTCACAACAACAAAACACCTTGTCTCTGCTGCATGTGTATAGCTCTGTACGTGGCAGCAATCTATCAAAAGTGGTTCAACTGGTTGTAAGGGGCCCTGTGTTTGTGTGTGTTAAAGAAGCATTAATAATTCAGCCAGAAAAACAGGGTGATAAAAGAAAAACCTTGGCAACTGATACTAGGTCAGAAACATTTATAAGCTTATTCATCCCTTTAGTGCCACAGATATGTGGCTTAGCAGCCTCAGGGACTGGGAGGGGCACATTTGTGTACAGGGTGGGGGGCTGTGTGTGTGTCCTTTGGGTTAGTCCTTAGGTGGGGCAGGATGTCAAAGTGTCAGCTGTCTACATTTGGGAGGGACAAGACTAACCACTCCCATTGGACAGACAGATAAGCCTTATTTGGCTGTGGAGCTATACCACCCTCAGCTATGCATGCAGTTCAGCCTCTAGATGTTATCGCACACTGGATCTTACCACACATTTGTCAACATATTGCCAAAGCTTGCTAATTTACTGGCTGTTAATCATCACATGGTTACAGTGCTAGGAATATCCATTCAGATCAGTTTGTTGTCAAACGAACCAGTACAAAACACGAAAAATAAACACTGTCAGAAAGATGGCATTTATGAGATTAGTAAATATGGCAAACTTTTACCAGGACTAAAATGAAAAGTTTTCTATACAAATACTTTTAGTTTATGATGGTATAGTAAATAAATGTTGCTAGATAAACTATCCCATCACAGATTTCTAGGAATTGACTTGAAGGGGATGGGTTAGTGTCCAAACACAAGCAATTTAAAAATAGCTTCCACTAGGACTGGCAGACAGGATAACATATCAGATCCTCAAAGTTAAACATGGCTTTCAGGAAGGTTAAATGTAACAACCAAAACACAAACACTACAGACATGTACTACCAAGTAGGTTCATGGTTACAACACAACTTTAGAAACAATGACAAACTGCAAATGTTTTAAATCAAAGATCAAACAAAGTTTCATCGTCTATGATTGCAGGACACACATTTATAACGTTTATCTAGCCTCGTCAATCAGACCCTCATCAATCCCAGCAGAGTAAATCACATCATCTGCAGGTCATTCAAGGATTCAGCTGCCAGGAAATCAGCGGTATTGTCCGGCACAATGAAAGTGATGATCCTGATCTAATCACATGGTTAAGCAGGAGATTGACATTGAGGCCCAGACTGCGCGGCTGGCTGGGTGTTGGTGGTGCGAACAATCGGTTTGTCGTAGTTTTCAGCTGGGTGGTGTGCGCTGGCTGTGGTGGGGTTGTGCATTGAAGAGGTGAAGTTCTGCTGATGTAGAGAGTGAGACACCGCTGCTGGATCGGAGGATGGGTGGGGATGGGTTGAAAGACCGGTGGGAGTTTGTTGAGCTGTTTTGGTGGAAGGTGGTGAACATGGAGGTGAATACTGTTGTTTTTGTTTAGAGGGTGTCTTTATATGGGATGAAAGCTTATCTTGGGCTCGGGGGGCATCGAGCTGGTTTAAGTCAACACTGGTGCTAACTGGAGACAGAGATTCTGATGGATCCTGTGTTTCTGGTGTGCTAGAAGAGCCAGAGTCTGGTTTCTGTTCACCAGGTGTGGCCTCTGGAAGTGTGTGCGCTTGTATCTGTGGAGATATGGTGCAAACTGTACTTGTCTTTTTTGATGGTTGCCGTGGTGTTTTGTCTTCAAGGCCTCCTCCCAATCTTATCTCTGTTTGTTTATCATCATGCCTGCTGAACTCTGTATGTGTGGCTTCTCCCCCGCTGCTGATGTGTCCTCTCGGTGTCATTGTTTCTGCTGCATTGGTCTGGGCTTGTCTCTGGACTTGTCTGGGCTTGTCTGGTTCTGCTCCAGCATCTGTTGTGTCCCTCTGAGTTTTGTCTACGAGCGCCCTCTGCCTGCAACCTGAAGCCATAGCCTTCACCCAGGGGTGCAGCAGGGTCTGCTCGGCTGTCAGCCTCACTGCGGGGTCTGGCTGAAGCAGAGCTCGGACAAGGCCTTTGGCTTCTGCACACAGATACACACACACGAGAATAAGAAACCAATAGTTTGTTTATGTTTGTGTGTATATGCATTTGTAGCAGCACACTTTATTTGTCTGTACTTCTCACCTTCTGAGATGGGGTCCCAGTAGGGGGGCAGGAAGTGGAGTTGTCCCTGTTTTATCAGCTGGAACAACTCTTCCTGGTCTCGATCCCGACTGCGAAATGGGGGAAATCCACACAGCAGGACGTAGAGGATAACACCCAGAGCCCAAACATCCACTGCAACACCATAACCTGTGGGGTCAAACCACATTTAGTTTGTAAAATACCCCTAAAATCAGATGAAAGTGTTCGGAAGAGCTTTAAAACAAGAAACCTTGTTTTTTAGTGATGCATATACAGATTTAAAGTAAAAATCAACTTAAGGAAGTGATTTATAAAACTAACGGCACCAACCTGTCTCACAGAGGATCTCTGGGGCTACATACGTGGGTGTGCCACATATGGTGAACACTGGTTCAGTCACAACCATGGCGAGACCAAAGTCTCCCAGCTTCAGCCTACAGATGCCAGAAGCCACACGCTCTATCTGAAACGGAACAAAAAAACAACAACAAACAGATTGAGACATGGAGGTGTTGACACTTTCTTTTTTAAATTCAATTCCTTCAGGATACGTGGTTGTTACAGACACTTTTTTTTTGTTTTTTGCAAAATGTTGATAGTTTGTGTCACCACTTTAACTCCAGATTAAGTTAGATACTATGAATTGTACTGGTATTACAGCATCACAATGTGGAACAGTCTGATATGTGAACTGTTGCCTACAATAAAGATGGTTTTAGTGTTTTAAGTTTAAGTAATTTTCATGTTAATCCCATACAAATTGACATGAAGTTCTCAAATCCCACTGACACTCACCAGAAGGTTTTCTGGTTTGAGGTCTCGGTGGACGATGCTCTTGCAGTGGATGTAGTTCAGTGCTCCGCTCACGTCTGACACCATCAGTCCTGTTTCGGCCTCTGGAAATGTCCCCCTCTCACTGATGGCCTCAAACAGATCCCCCCCGCTCACCATCTCCATCAACAGGTACGAGTGAGTGTGCGTGTGGTGGTGCGCAAACAGCCGTACTATGCGAGGGTGACGGAGGCTACCCAGAAGGCTCAGCTCGTTCTGCATCATGTGCTCTCGACCAATCAGCTTAGAGCGTTCAACAATCTTCACAGCAAGGATTTGTCCATTGTCACGGCGGCGGCACTCTCGCACTACAGCGAAGTTACCATCTCCAACGGCACGTCCAATTTCATAGCAACGCTCGATATCTGCCAGAGTGACATCACTTCCGTCTGATGAAAGGTCAAAGGTCGGCCTCCTCTGTATGTCCTTGTGTATTTGATCCTCATCTGGGAGTTGATTTGAGACTAATTGGGCAACGCTCTTCTCCTCTTCTCTGCTGATTGGCTGAGGAGGCGGAGGGCTGTTGTGAACATTCAACTTTCTAACTTCCTGATCTGCATAAGAACTTCCTTTTTGCTTCCTCAACACAGGAGGAAGTGGGACCCTCCCTGACAGGGGAGTGAGCCGCTCTGGACCCTGACGTTTAGCTCTTCTTGTTAAGCATTCTTCACATAGAGTAGGAAAAGGTATCTCTTCTTCTCTAAGAGCCTCATCGTGTTTAAAGGGACCAATGACAGACGTCAGCCGCTCTCTGGACTCGCCCCTCACGCGCAGTCTCTGCAGGTGGTTTGGCAGGTGAGAAGGTTTTCTGCATGAATTCTTTTTGTGACACTTCTGAACGTCTGGGTTGTAATTGGCGAGCTGGTGTGCATCTATATGCTGTGTACTTGTGTGTGTGTTATTGTGATTTTTGACATGATGTGCATCTGTGTCCTGGTGTGCCTCTTGGTCAGTGTGTGTCTCACTGCTGTCTGTCCCTTCACTGTATCCACTGTCGGCTTTAGCAGCTTTATCTGGCGCTGGTCGAAGTCTTTTCTCCCAGGCCCGTAGTGCGTCAGCCCGGTAATGAGATTGTTCTGGAAACAATTCCTCCAGAGCCTCCTGCACACCGCTTAGCTCTGGACGAACCTTCCCTAGGGCCAGAAAAGCCACTTCGCCTCGGAAGAAATCACATATACCTTTCACCTATGGAAAAGAATAAAGAAATTGTGTTTTTGTTAGTTTAATGTGACCTAGAGGTAGAGAGCGATGCTTTTCTTGAGGGGCACAATCACAAGAGGCATAATTTCTCTAAAAATGCCGGTCAGTATGATAGCAGAAAGCCACTGAGCAATATGTCTGTGCCTTAGAGTGGATATAGATCAAATGTATTGGAGTTTTTCTCCTTGCAAGTGGTGCTCCTACAGAATAGATCAACCTAGCCTAGCCCAGCGTGGAACCCCTGGGTAATTAGATTTTGAGAACTGTCTTTAAAGTTAAATCTGTCTCGCACAATCGGAAGCTGCCAAGTGAATATCATGCTTGTTAAGTCAAGTCTGGATTACCAACTGCGAAAAGAGGGTCTCTGTCATCTAGTTTCAAGACATTATTTTTGCATTAATGCGCACGTGTCACATAACTAGTACTGCACAGCCAAACTGAGGGGAAGGTTCAAACTGCAGAGCATGCAGGAAGAATGTTGAAATTATTATAAGCAGCCCTTCTGTGTATTACGTCTGATTGAGCTTCACCTCTCGTGCGTGGGTTGTGTAAAGGCGTGTGACTCTGGCTCTGTGCCAACGAGGAAACCCCAACGCCTCAGAGATATCCAATAGCAGTTGCTCGAAGGACACCACACCTCTGCGGTTCAACAGGACTGTTACCTTGAAAACAGAGACAAAAATCATGTTTAAATTATGAAATCCTTACCCATGTAAATTAACCCCTAACCCTCTGCATGCATTTGGGTATTTTTTGTTGATCAGGAAACCCCCACAGATTGACCACAATGCTGCAAAGCAACACCACTAATGTAAGCATTGGGTTGAGAGGTCATGTGTTGTGAGCATGCGCAGTCTGTCCTGGAGTGGTGAAGGAGAGTGTGGTGTGACTCGACGAGAAATAAACGGAGGCGCTATCTGTGACGCTCCAAAAAGTACTAAGTTCCTGAGTTTTTGTTACACAGCAGTATTCTTGAAGCCTTAAGCCAATCAGAACTGGGGCACTTTTTTCCCCCAGGAAAGTACCATCTCTCAGCAGGCACTAAAAATGGGGGTAAAAGTTCCAGAGATTAAGTGCTCTTTTTGGTGTGAACGCGACATAAGGGGTACTAACGGAACTAAACGTGAAAAGTACGGTGAAAAGTACTCCGGTGTGAACGCGGCTAGGAGGAGATTCAGGTGATAAGGTGGGGGTGGGGTTACCTTGGTTGGTAATAGAGTGCCACAGTGACGCGTCCTAAAATCCGGTTTTATAATTTTTCGAATCATAAATCTATCGATCATAAATGTATAGATTAGATTTATGATCATAAATCTATCGATCATAAATCTATCGATTAGATTTATGATTCGAAAATTATAAAAGTAGGGTAGACATGTGGATATTATCCGGCTGAACAAAACGTGATCTGTCTCTTCAATTTGTGTCAACCACAGACCTTATTTCGAGCTATTTTCCAAAATCCCATTGAGAAATTGCATTGGTTTTTGTCGAAGGAACCGGAAGTGGTAAAATGCTAACTTACTTCTGGGTTTTAGGACGCGCGTCACTGTGGCACTCTATTGTTACACAAGCCAAAAAATCGTTATGACATCAAAAAGTGGCCAAAATCTGATCAGTTCATTTTCAGACAGGTTTTTATATAAATGGATCAGGACAAAAAGAGATCAAATATTTTTTCCTGAAATTTTCAGAATCTCTTAACACAGAGAGGACACATGTTTATGTATAAAAGACATGCCGAAAAAGTGGATTTTGCATAATAGGTGTCCTTTAATGTTTATAACGTCAGGCTTGGTGGCTTATTAACAAGTGTAAAACCCATTCAGAATGATCATGTTACAAACATTTATTACTATTACCAAATTGAAATGATAACCACCCAACATTTCAAGCCAAACATGAGTCAAATTACACCTTAAATGTTCTATGTTACATTAGTCATCTATTAATTAACCATTAATTAAACTATTGGTTACAATCTATAAACGTTGAATATAATTATATTTTAATTCCCTTTTTCAAATAGCTAAATCTCACCTTGCGCAGAGTACTTTGACCACAGGGCCGTATGATGGTGACCAGATGGGGCCTCTCTGCGCTCTCTTCTGCATGGCGGGTGTGGAAGAGAGGGAGGGGAGGAGGAGGGGGGAAGTGGGACCTGTGGACATGTGCCGCAAGGTGGAGCTGAATGGGCCAAGGTTGGGGTGCCCCACCAGCACGCTTCAACAAAGGGACAGGAGGAACTGAACACGGGTAGAAATGGAGGATAAGGGTGACAGCACAAAGACAGAAAGCAAGAGTGGGATTATTGAAAGTGCGCTCAATAGCACTGATGTCATCATATTGTTTCTTTAAGACTTTTATACAAAGGAAAACTCATAAGTAACACAACACCAGTTCGTCATCGTGTTAGTGTGTGTGTGTGCGCGTGTGGGAAAACAAATCCGGCTGATCAGATTTTAGTGTTTTCCATCACACAGAGTGCATGGGCCATTTGAGATTCTTCAAACACCTGGCTGAATTATTTAGGTTTCCTTAAGTCATGCACACCCACACACACAACTACACAAAAGCTTGCCTGACCTGGTTAGGGCTCAGCTGAATATGCATCATTGATGAAGCATTAGAGACACACACAGCATCTTTGACGTTTCACTTTCTGGCACCGAGGGAGGCGGAGAGATGCTATCTGTCCAGCCAGTGGGGGTTTGTTTTTTGTTTTGTTTTGAGATGCAGAACAACAGACAGAAACACAAGACCCGTATACTTCTAATTGACCAGTGACCCCACTTTTAACTAGACACCATTGCCCCCCTGAGAGTGAGGGCACAAACAATCACACAAAGTCTTGACAATTAAAGTTAGGACACAAAGAAAAAAACTAAACATCTTATAAAGAGCCAGCTGTGGTCATCAAGGAAGACTGACAAAGGATTTTCTTGGCAGTCAGAGGCTCATTATTTGTGTTTGTGTGGTTGTATATTATTACAGCAGGACACTTCAATAGTAAGTAAAAGTAAAATCACATGTCTCAAGTCATAGTTTACATTTTCATACCTCACAGCTAAATTAAATGGAGTGCAATGTGGGTCACAGCCTTTTACTCTTTTAAAATATCATGGTCATAGTAGCCAATTTCGCAGATGGTTACAGATAATTTCCTTCTTTCCAGCTTAAATACTTTGAAGATTCATATTTGTAACTCAAGTTTTGACAAATTAATAAGTCACTTTATATTTCTTATGTAAAATGTCAATATTACACAGACCAACATTACAAACGGTAAGGAAAACCAGAATAACAATTCAACTAAAAATACATACCCATGTTAAATGGCATATGATCATATTGATATTATATAATTAATTACAGGCTTAAAATGGTAAATGTAATATGCTCTAATTTCCTGAACATGCTTTATCTCTTCACACATTCTAAAGTATTGATGTATAGAAAATACATTACATTGGTATTATTAATGTTATTATATATCTTTAATAAGTAGCCTATGACCATCCCTCACATAAATAATAACTTATTGGACAAATATCTTAATTTAGCTATAATTTGTATGATTATGTAATACAATGCTATCCCTCAGACTCCTTAGAAGATTTTAAATATTTTAACTAAATAATTTCAATCCGGGTATCGACTCACCTGCCATTCTCCATTTAGTGTTTCGAGCTGCTTCGCATCCATAGCGAGCTCTCTGTGAGGGCATCATGACTCTCAATAACAAAACATCTAACTGAATCTACTTTATTTTTCATTCGTTTTTATTCCCCCATAAATCCCCGGCTGTTTAAAGTAACGATTCACTCTGTGAGATCAACGGACATGGTGTATAGCTACTGTTTACCATGGTTACTCGTCAAGTTGAACGGCTGGAAAATAGAAAATAGCGGAAGTGGGGCGATTTCGCCGTCAAAATAATATATTTTGAAGTTAATATTGTGATGTCGTGGGCCTATCTACAGAGCAGCATACTTTTAAATAAACATGTGGTTGTCATTTATATAAAAATCTAAGTAAAGCCACAATTGTTCTTATCAATGTATGTAGGCTACGTTATGCTTGTAGATGGTTGGATCATCAACGTCGTTTTATTTTGAAAGTTCTGACCGGAACTGTACCGTTTTGTACTTTTGTTCATGTTATATTATTTATTATGGCAACTAACCACCTGAAAATGAATACATCACTGTCAAAGGTTTTGTAAAATAAAAAAGGAATTTAATTGAACTACATGTTTTAACTCCAGGCCTGTAAGTGATGTGAGGCTATCTGGGTTGTTTTAGCCATCCGGCCATCAACGGTCATGGTTGTAAAACCTATTGTCTCAGCACCTTTATCTCCCTGATTTGTTGAGTTACAGCTGTTGAATTTGTATAATTGTTCCAACATAATCATTTTTACAGAAAATAATAATTAATCGATGTCAAATACAAGGAGTTCCACTATTACAACATGCCCAATTATACTGGGGAAAGGTGTACAGCAGCCTAAGATAAAATGATTAAAATGCAGTTTTGCCAGGTGGTTCACAAAGATCAATCAATTGACCTTTTAGTATTATCCTAATTTCTTTGATTATATCTTTAAACCTAAACAGTCAAATTTAAGAAAAAGCTTTAAATATAATAACGAATCTGGAAGAGCCACCTGTTGCACTGGTTCCTCACCTGAGATTCAGGACCCTCACAAGGGGTTGGGAATGAATTTGAGGCCTTGATGTGATAGATATCAGAAAAAGAGAAAAAACAAGTTTCTGTTGCATAGAATTTCCTGGAATCTTTTTTCTTGTTAAATACGGGATCATCCTTTTTCTTATTTCAATCAGGAAAAATCATTCGTTTGTTTAACTGAATGAGTCAGACATATGCATGAGGGTGCAAGTTAGCATGGTCCCTAGCACAAAAGCTTAGTAACTACTGGCCTTAGGGATTAAAGGCCTATGCTAACCATGGCCATCCGTCTTTCTCTGCCTTCATTTAATGTCTGCTCTACATTCACTATATAATAGAAGTATAATGCCTCTAATTACTTAGAAAAAGGCTTACAGAAACCCACAACTTAGCCTAGTATAGTGTGTACTTTTAGAAAGTAAACTCTTGCTCAGATGTACAACCTGCAAATTCATGGACTTCCCTTATATTTCCCTAATGGTAGCATCTGCCATGTGAAAACCTGTCTCTGTGTTAACTGGAGAGTTAGTGATGGATGCAAAAACCACATTATCATACAAAGCCTTTTTGGGACTGAAAAGACGTGATGGTGTAAAATCACACTGACAGAGAGGGGGGGGGGGGGGGGGAGTTACCATAGTTTCACTGAAGGAATACAATACTCAGCCTCACACACCTACACAAACACATTCACACTCAGTGTCCGGTTGATCTTTTAATACGCTGCCCCCCATGGCTTTGTCTCCAAGGATACTGTTACTGTTGAATCTGTCAGCAACTAATCCTATTCCGGCTTTGCATCCTGGACTCACCGAGAACCAACAGTGTGTCTCAACAATAAAAGTGCCAAATAGTGATTATCCAAAACCATCCATTTATTTTCCCCATATTATTATAAGTGTTCTGTCTTCTGTTTCGAAAACATATCTGATTAATTATATGGAAGCAATTAGTTGTTGTATTATGTTAGACGTCAACGTTTTTTGAAATGTCAGGTTTTCAACATGTAGAAATAAGATTAATTTTATGCTTACCTTTTTAGTACATTTAAATATACAGATGTTAATAGACAAAGTGTAGTTTAAACATATATTAACAGGTTTTTTCAATGTTCTCTTAGTCTGAAAGAATATATGCTAAGGAAACAAAATAGCTTAAACTATGACCAGTTCCCATGTGACCATGGTAGATGACATGCAACATGTCTGCAGCTGGATTTAAACAGAGGAAATTGTGATTATATAGCCAGGATCTTAACCCCATAGGCCACCAGAGGAACACGTGTTTTCATAATTTCAAGATTCTGGTGAAAACGAGGAGTTCTCCGGGTGGATTACTATAAAATTGATTATTACTTATTTATTTTATGAAGAGATTGATGGTCATCTTGTTATTCCACAGGACTAAGAGTCTCATAATAGCACACATTTCGTTTTTGGCTCATAATCTTGACCCAATTATATTTTAGTTCACATTTTATGAGTGGTGGTTTGACCCATAGACTGTATATATAAAGGTTTGACCACAAGGGAAATACACTAATGATGCACCACTAGTATGTTTCCAGCAGAGGGAGGAGTGTGTCTGCGGTGTGTCCCAGCAGCCACAGCAGCTGCCCACATAACAGGCATGTGGAGTGTTTCCCTGGAAGAACTACCCAGCTAGATAAACAAGAGACAATTCATCTTGTAATTACATCAAGATTATGTTTTAGGATACAAATGTAGAATCCTATCGTGGCATGCAGTGGTATTATTCAGGTTTGATTCTCACAACTTTCTTTCCACCAAATGAATTCCAAGAAACAGGGTAATCTGAAATACTGAATACATGTTGCATCCTTGAAAAACTAACGGACTGTTTCTTCCTCTTTTTTAGGTTGCGGCTGGCTCACCAGAGGATTCGCAGAACAACTCAAGGAATGCAGTCTCAGGCCCATCTGCATAGGTTACACACACACACACACACACACACACACACACACACACACACACACACACACACACCACACACACACACCACACACACACACACACACACACACACACACACACACACACACACACACACACACACACACACACACACACACACACACACACACACACACACACACACACACACACACACACACACCCCATTGCAGTTCAATGTATGCCAAAAGCCCCTAATGAGGCACCCGGTTGCCAGCCTCGATGTATAAAAGTATTTATTATGCAGTATGTCTCATTTAGTGATATTTGCTAAGGGGTTGACTTATCATACTGGTGAGATAGCTTATCCATAATAATAAATCATAATTCATTTTGTATTTATATTTTATAAATCGTAGTTTAGTTACTCAGTGAGATGCCTAAGGTTATCAACAAAAATGTAGCTGTAGCCTTTCATGTAAATACTACTATAGTTACAATTACCTGAGGTTTAAAGTACAACAGTTGTGTAAATTACCACCACTGCTTGTGGAAAAGAGCTGCTGAAAATCAGAATAATTCACCATTTCTAAAAATCTCTCATTAAGAATTGCAGTTTTAATGAGTTGTATCCATTAAACATTAATGTAACCATTAGCTACAGGGTATATACTTATAGTTTATAAAAAATGTGTCTCTGCATGGTACCCAACAGTAATGTATGTTTAAAGGTCTACAATTCCTTCTGAAACCAGTCATGCAGAGACCTGACGCTGAAGCTTTCACCCCTCCATTCATGTAATTAACTTTCTATCTTGGCACTCGGGCTCCATTTGAACAAGGCAGTGAGAAAGTATTCAGATGAGCGTAGCGAGAAATATTCAAAGGAGCGGCCGCAGAATGAATTACTCAACAAACAGTTGTGTGTTAGAGCAGGGAGTGACATGTCCAGATGTTTATTTAACTGTATTATACACACAGTCATGCACAGGACAGCTGCATGAACGCTGGAAGAAGAATCAATATTTCTCGGTATGACACTCCCACTCCTCCTTAATTTGTTCAAGCATTTTATCCCACGCTTCCAGCTTTCTGCACATGTCAGCTCAATGTATTTAGACACGCATGCTTTGATACGCTCACAAATGCATGCAGTGTGTGTAATGCCAAACACAAGCAGTGCAGGGTGCCTGGACAGTATAGGGGTTGTTATCTTGTCTTGGGTCATCAACCTCAGCAGCAGTCTGGCCTGAAAGATTGATTGTGTTATGTACACAAGATCAGACAAGTTCATCTCAATAGAAGCTAAGATTCTGCAAAAAACAAATAGACGCGCTGCTAATACATGTGGCCATTTATGTTCATTCATTTGCACTTATTTAGTGTATGAGTGCACATTTCCCTGCAGCTTAAGCTTTGCACATGTTAGAAGCCGTTATGAAGTAGGGAATGTCTTGCATGTAACTGCTGTAAAAAAATCCAAGTCAATGTGAGTTATGGCCTTAGTGGCATCCCAGAACACTATCTCAGGATTACACATCAGACACACACATGGAAAACTCAACCCATAGACAGCATGTGGACGTATTTTAGGCCAGAGCAGAACGATTTCAACCTTTCACCTCCTCTCTCTCTCTCTCACGCATACAGACACACCTGTTAGAGGCAAATGTCATACCCTTGCGCTTTACTGATTTGTCACAGACACATGTGCCCGTTTAGACACAGTACATCATTGGAAAAGAGAGAAGGGCGGTAACTGGAGAAAAGGGCAGTGGGACAGGGTGTGGAACATCGTGTGATGTGATGACAGCAATAGATATTGACTTTACCCCTCAATCCCTGCTGTGTGTGTGTGTGTGTGTGTGTGTGTGTGTTAATGTGTGTGTGTGTTAATGTGTGTGTGTGTTAATGTGTGTGTGTGTTATTACACAACTTCCAGAGATCATCAGACCATCTGCAGATGGGGGAATTTCATCAGATGATAAGTAGCTGTTTGTACTGTTGATCAATGCTGCTGTGTGCAAATGTCACATCTTTATTTGCATCTTTGAGGGGCACTTGGCATTATGACTTTGGTATTGGTTTTAAAAGAACAATTTGACATTTTGGGAACTAAACGTATTTGCTTTGTTTGATCATTAATTCAAGGACTGGAACGTCACTGGGCCTGGCCATGAAA